TTCAGTGTCTCAGGATAAAATATGGCACCTCATCATCAGGGATTTCCTTTCCCCATCCCGCTGATGGTTTCTCATGGAATTGTGTTCAGAACATGGTGAGTGATGCAAGTTCATGGAAAATTTTCTTCTATTTTTTTTGGTTTTGTTTTGAAAGTGGCTCCCAATTTACAATCTGTGTTTGGTTTTTTGTATTTCTGAGAGAACCAAGACCGTAAAAACATCCACAGGTTCACTAAAGCATTTCAGTACACCGAGACAACCCTTCCTCCTGGGTGTGGAAACCAGCTAAATGGGAGCTGGAATTTGGCGTGGCAGGGAGAGGGTTTGACACCCCATTTCCCAGAAAGGACGGGAAAACCCTCCTTTTCCTGGGAAAGCCTCGTGAAACACCTTCACCCTCCCCTCTGGCACGTTGAGGCAAAACTTTTCTGCCCAGTCCCATTTCCTGAGTGTGGAAACCTGGGGGCAGGACGGAGAGCTGAGCGTGAAACCAGAAGAACTCGGGGGATTTTCGATAAAAAACTTCTCAAGGGAGCCCTTTTCCCCCCTCCCTCTTTGGTCCTGAGTCAGGTAATTCCAGTAATTCAGTAATTCCAACCCCTGTTTTCCCCCAAATCCCTATAACCCTCGTGCTGCAGACAAATATTGTGGCTCATCCAGCTCTGACTCAAGTGGTAATTTAGGGTGACAAGCAATTCCTTCAGCACATGAGTAACCAAGTTAATGGGAGGATGTTACCCAAGAGCAGCCCTTGGAATAACAGGCACGAGTCTGACAACTTCTTGGGAGGCCTTTAAATACCTGTTATTTTATTATTTGCCAGCAGTGGCTCTTGGAGAGGAGCTCAGGGCACTCGACCAGCGCAGGATATCAAAGGGAAAACTCTTGGTTCCCACTCAGAAATCTCTCTGTGTGGGACTGAAATGCACCTCCTGAATGAAATGATTAAAAGGATCTTTGCATAAAGATGAGACTCAGATGCAAATGCAAAGGGTGATGAAGAAGCTGGAACAGATGTCCCCCTCCTGGAATGCAAATCACCTGAATTGCCATGATGTCTCACTGACTAATTACTCCTAAATGCTTTTCCAAGGCTCATTCTGATGGAAAAAAACCCGATTTATTTTCCCTGCAGCCCTCAAAGCAGGTCTGGGATTGACCCAAATAGGTTTTTTTCCCCATTTTCAAGTCCTCAGTCCTAACAGTCCCACCCTGCACCTCAGAGTATGGATGGGACAAATGCACTTGGGAATGTGGTTTGGATCCTGAAGGGCCCTTCCATCCTTGCTGATTCTGGGATTCAGTGATGAGAGCTTTTGTGAGGGAGCAGGACGAGTAAATCCCACTTTGTGCCATCCCTGGGAACGGGGAGAAGGCTGGAAAGCCAAGGGAGACCCCTCAAAGCCCAACCTCTGTCTCTGTGACCTGTCCCTTGACATTCCCCCTCCCTTGTGGAGTGGAGGGAGAGGGATGGAAAGCAGGAGGAGCACAAGAAATGCAAAATCAACCCCATTTTGGGACATAAACACAAGGAGCAGTGTCTGGAGCAGTGTCTGCCTTTTCTCCTGGGCTGGCTCTGAGCTCCTCAAGCCAAGGAAAAAACACTAAGCTGGGAAATGAGCCCGAGTCTGGGCCAGAGGGATCTGAGTCACAGCAAATAAAATGAGCTGTTGGACTGGGAAAGGGCCACAGCATTAGAGCCGAGCTCAAAGCCAGCATGAGGGAGTCCAGGAATAAAAGGGGGATATTCACCCATCTGTGCTTTCAGTCATCAATAGGAAGCATCCACATCCATCCTCCACCCTGTGACAGCCACTCAAGAGCCACTTGGGATACACTGGGAACAGTCCCAAGGGGAGGTTTGTACACACAGGGGCATTTCCAACAGCTCCCTCAGCAGATCCTGAGCAGGACAAATGGATCCCTCAGGAGAAACACGTGGACACATCCCTAATTATCCAGCTGTGCCCAAACTGTCTCTCTCTCGTTCAGTTCAGCCAAAGTCTAAGGAGGAATCAGTGCTGGTGAATCCTTCTTGTTTTCCCTTCAAGGAGCACTGAGCTCCTTCAGGCTGGAAGAGCCCCATTCCAGCAGCCACCTGAGTCATCCCAGAATCTGGGAGTGTTGGATTTTCTCCCCTAAAATCCCAGCATCTCCTTTTCTTTGATGCTCCCCAAGGATTTCAGTTTTGGTTAAGACCACACAGCCCTCACTGAAGAAAAGAGAGCCCAAAGGTGCAAACACTGAAGTCTGAAAGCAACCCTTCGATTTTCTGCCTTCAACACTTGGCAGTGGTGACAGTGACAACATTTGACAGTGACAACATCTGACAGTGAAAGACAAGGCAGGTACAGCCTGAACATTCCTCTGGAAAAAGAGTCATTTTATGGAAGAGTAGGGGAGTGGTTTTGTGGGAGCAGGGTGTGAGCTGGCTCACTTTCTGGGATGGGAATATCTGGCAGGAGGGTCCTGTGTAGGTCAAGCTGCCACGTGGCCCTTGGGGACATGGGGTAGGGGTGACTCTGGTGGTGCTGGGTGAGGGTGGGATGGGATATTCCAGCCTCGAGGATTCTGGAGATTCTGATTCAAGGCTCTCTGTTCCTGCTGCCTCCTCTCGCTCCCAGGAACTCAACTGATTCCTCTATTCCTGTTCTAAACATGCCAGGGAAGGCCTGGCCGTGGCACTCAGTGCTCTGGGCTGGGGGACAAGGTGGGGATGGGGCACAGGGGGATCCATGGGCTGGGAGGGCTCTTCCAACCCCAGGGATCCTGGGATTCTTTCAGACCTGGAGGTGCCTGTTGGGAATGAGGAGCTGCAGCAATCCTGAGCTGCTGTCTCCCCCCAGTGTCTGCAGATTTTCTTGTTCAAGCTGCAGCTGCAGAACACAACAAGTGAGAGCACCTGCCTTGGACAGGACACACCAAACCCTCCCTGCTGTGCCAGGGAACAGGGACAGCTTTGGGAAGCTGCCAGGCTGGGCCAGATTTGCGGCCAAACACCTACAAAGATGTTTTGATTTGGCTGCAGGAGCAAAAAGGGGGTGATTTGAACTGCTGAGGAGGCTCCTCCCTTCAAGGCAGGGGGAAAAAAGGAGTTAATTCCCTTCTTTAAGGGAGGGCCCTCAGATTTTAGGCCTGGATTGCTTTGGAGGCCAAATGGTGCCCAAAGGCTTTGATGGTGAACGGCTTAAAGGGAGATTGTGTACCTTGGATTCTGCTCCCAGAGCAACTGGAGGGAAACAGTTAAAAATCATCATCATCATCATCATCATCATCATTATTATTATTATTATTACACAAAACAATAATAGATATTATATATTATACTATATAATATTATATGGTATATTTATATAAAATTATCTTTATATATTATAAATAATTTATAATTATATAATTATATAGCATATATAATATAAAAATATAATATGTGTTATATGTAATTTTGTATACTAAATATAACATAAATCATAATTATATAATTATATAGTATATATTATATAAAAACATAATATGTGCTATATGTAATTTTATATATTAAATATATACTCTATATTTATAGATATAGTCTATATTCTATATTTATAGATGTTGGATATATGTTTATATAAATAGTGTATATCAATATATAAATTATAAATATGCAGTTTTATACATTATAAGACAATATTAATAATATCATATTGTTATATTGTATCAAGTAATATAGTCTTATTAATTATAACTATTAATTATTGATTATTATTATTATTATTATTATTATTATTATTATTATTATTATTATTATTATTATTATAAATTTACTCTTGAGAGCCTAAAAATTCCAGACTGGGCACAATATTCGAGGACAACCAGTGACCTTACGCAGCCAAAACACTGCCGAGTTGTGCAGCTGGGGGACCCCGGCAGCTCCCGGGCAGTTTGGGGGGTGTGGCTGAACTGAAATCCCACCCCACGGGCAGATTTTGGCCTCACCTTCCCCTCCAGAAGGCACAAGAGTTTAGGAAGTGCTTCAGGATGGAAAAATGAGTGGAAATGAGGAGGGAAACAGGAAGGCAAAGGTACCTGATGGCTCCTGGTGCCCGAGGAAACAGTCCTGTGTTTCTGTACCTCTCTATGGATATTTATATTTCTATCTGTGTATTGATTAACAATCAATTAACAACCTCTGGAGCCAGGCTGGGAGAGCTGGGGGGGTTCACCTGGAGAAGAGAAGGCTCCAGGGAGACCTGAGAGCCCCTCCCAGGGCCTAAAGGGGCTCCAGGAGAGCTGGAGAGGGACTGGGGACAAGGGATGGAGGGACAGGACACAGGGAATGGCTTCCCACTGCCAGAGGGCAGGGAGAGATGGGAGATTGGGAAGGAATTCTTCCCTGGGAGGGTGATAAGGGACTGCAATGGAATTCCCAGAGAAGCTGTGGCTGCCCCTGGATCCCTGGGAGTGTCCCAGGCCAGGTTGGACGGGGCTTGGAGCAGCCTGTGCTGGTGGAAGGTGTCCTGCTCGTGGCAGGGGTGGCACTGGAGGAGCTTTAAGGTCCCTCCCAACCCAAACCATTCCAGGATTCCAGGATTCCAGCACCAAGCTGGCTTATCCCCCAGGAGCTGCTGCTGTTGCAGGAATAGCTGAGGAGTAAAATAAGAGCCCAAAATTCTGTTTTCTCAGAACAAACCTCCTGCCATGAAACCTCCTCAGAGGTGACCCCGTGACCTGCAGGAATCCAAGCAAGCCCTGGATGCACAGAGGGGTTTTCCTGGGAAAGCTCCTCTCCTGGGGCTGTTCCTCTGGTTCTACAGTCCCCAGACTGACCCCCTTGCAGGAATGAGCTGCTCTGGGAAGCTGCACAGAGTCCTCTGCTCGTCCTTCTGCCCCTCCACGGACCTCGTGCTCATCCATGATGGATCCCAAGTGCTATTCCCTGTAAACCCAAGCACCTCCTGGCAGATCTTCCTTAAAAATGCCTCCCCTGCAGCTCTGATCTCTTAAACAAGCAGCAAACGAGGCCAGGGCTTTTTTTTTATTTTTTAATTTTTTTTTTACAAAGGGTTTTTTTATTGCATAAATTAGAGGCTGAAATCCTTCTGTGTCCACGTAAAAAATGGAGATACAGCTGAAGGGAACGTTCCTCTCCAGGGTTTTATTCCTCTGCCACATCCATCATCTCCAGGAAGGCTTCATCCTCCTGGGAAAGGAATCCAGTGCAAGCTGCCAAGTGTCAGGAATTCTGCAGGCTGAGGAGAGAGCAGTGAGAGCAGCAGGGCTAAATCTGCTGCCATGACAGCCCTGCAGGAGAATTTCCCTCCCTTCTCTCTCTCTCCCAGTATGGAAGGACAGGGCTGAGGGGGCTCCACTCCTCATCCAGCCTGGCCTGGAGCAATTCCAGGGATGGAGAGCTCCCAGGGGGATTGGGATTGGGATCACTCTGCTCCCTTGCAGGGCAGTCCACGTGTCACTTGTTTAGGGATAAAATCCCACCTCATTCCCTCTGACTCCGCCTTCTCCCGTTTTCCAGGGAACAGCAAAACTGCTTCCCAAGAAAAGCTCAAATTGGCCCAAATTTACCCCAAACCAAAGCCTCACTCAGAGCCAAAGAGGAGACCTGGAAAACACCTTTGGGTTGGTGGTTGGTTGTTGGTTTTTCTCTTGGCAAACGAACCTCTTGGTTCCCGGGGTTATTCCCAGGGCCTCGCTTCCAGGCACAATTCCCAACCCTTATTGCAGGGCATAAAGCAGGGGTAAGGTTGGAAATAAAAGCTCCTGAACGTTTTTAAAGATTAAAACTGTTTCCAGGTGTGAGGGAATGGCCTGAGGAGGGGAAAGGAAGTTTTTTATTTGAGTAACATGATGTCAAACTCCCACTGAGCTCACATGGGGCAGGAAGAGAATTCCCGTTTTTTGGCCTAACAGGGAGCAAAATGATACAAAAAAAATAACAGACAAGTCAGGGAACAGAATCTCAGCACCAGGCAGGACTCATTTCAGTAATGGATTTGATCCAAAAAAGCCATGACTGCTTAAACTTGGGAAACAGGGAAGGAATTCTGCCCGTGGGGAATGAAACCTCCAGATTTTCAGGAATGTGATGTTCATTTTGTTCACTTTGTGCTGAAAGATGAGCAGTTTTCTCGGTGCATTATGCACGGTGGATGTTACACAAACCAACCTGTTCCTTGGGCATGGAATTTGGCCTGTCCAGCTGAAACTCCCAGCTTGCCAATGATTTAACTAATCCAGAATGGCTGATTATTTCCTAATTAATTATGGGACTGGAGGCCAAGAGCTCTGCTAGCATTTCCTGCCCAATTTCACCCTCTCCTCCTGCAGCAGGATTTCCTGGGCAATGGGCTGGGCCTCAAAATTCCAGGAGATAAAGAGCAGAGAAGGAATATTGGGCTAAGATATCCTCAAAGCTGAGCTGGAATTCCAGCACAGATGGGGCATGATCTGAGTGTGCAAACCACAAACAGCACAAGAACTCAGCTGGTGACGGTTCAAATGGCACAATTCAACCCCAAAACAATGGGATTAATTTGTCAGTGCCAGTAGGGAGCAGCAGGATGTGGAATAAATTCCCTACCTGAGGGACTCTTCAATCCTCCTTCTCTGCTTCTCTTTTCAGTTTCTCCTCCCGTTCCCTCTTCAGTTTTTCCTCAATTTTTTTGCTCTGGTACATTTTCACTCCAGCAAATGCCAAGCAAAGGATCAAGGTTTTGGCTGCCAAAATGTACATCAGCAGTGGGAAATTCTCCAGAGCCTGAAATGCAAAAGAATAGATTGAGGAGGGAACGCTTGGATAATTGTAAATGAATTTACAGGGTGTCACAGAGCTCCCTCCAGCAACAGCATTATCCAGGTGCTGAAAATGCTCCTCTGTCCAGGGTTTTTATTCCTGGAGGGAACTTTAAAGCAGGCAGATCAACAATTAGGGGAAAAAACAAAGACAAATCCCCTTCACTCGAGTTGTACCTGAAGGTAAAGAATGGGGAAGGCCCCTGGGACAGGTCTTGTTTTGCAGCAAATGGAATATTCCCATGATTTGGGGGTGGAAAAGGGGAACAGCTCAGTGTTTTAGGATAACTGGAAAGTGGAAATGCTGCTGAACAATTCTCACATGAGGGATGGACAGAAATTATAGTCCACTGTCATTTTGCAGTGAACTGGCCCAGATGTGAAAGGTAAAGAAAAATGTCCTGAAACTTGAAGAAAAGATAAAATCCAGAGCCTGCAGGGATTGTTTTTAATGCCTGTAATGACCCAAAGTGCTCAGTGGACCCTGATGTTACAAAAGCAGGGGCTGTGAGTCCACAGGGAGGGGAAAAGAAAATGAAAGTGGATGGTTGGGCACTGGAAGAGCTTCCTCAGGGAATGGGCACGGCCCCGAGGCTGCCAGAGCTCCAGGAGTGCTTGGAAAACACTCTCAGGGCCAGGGGGGATTGTTGGGGTGTCCTGGGCAGGGACTGGGTGAGCTTTGGGGGTTCTTCCAGCTCAGGATATTCCATGAGAACACTGTGAATTGGGAATACTCTCTGAACAATCCCAGCTGTGCCAGCCTTTCCTCCCAGCAGAGCTGCTCCAGCCCTGGCATCCTCTTGGTGGCTCCCACAGGTCAGTCCGTGGGGTCCCTCAAACATTGCTGGGCCTCACACACGACCCTGCAGGGTCTTTGTGGCCCCAAAACACCCAAACCCACAGTGCAGAAAAGCCCCTGCAGTGCCAAAAGGAGCTGAGGGAAAAGCCTGGGAAGAGGGAAGGCAGGAGGACAGAGCAGAGCCCAGGCCTGAAGTGTCCCCACAGCAAATCCTGGGGCCACAGAGACCACACGGAGCGAGGAAGGACAACAACAAATCCCTGAGAGTGTGCTGGGAAAACCACCCTGCCCTGGGTATGGAAAGCCCCTTCCAACACAGAACCCCCCCACTGCTTGGAACAGCAGCAATTCCCTGCCTTAGGAATGTGGGACAGCCTCACCTTCCAGTTGAATGCCACCATCCTGGCCGTGGGGTGACACCAGCTCCGACGCACGCCACGCTCCTCACGTCACCCAGCGGGGCGGGAGCATCTTGGAGAGATGGAAATTAAAGCAAAATCAGGTGTTGAAGAAACGGGAATGAAGGTTAAAACAGAATTAGAGAAGCTGCTTCCAGCCAGCAGGAACAGCCCGCTCCTCCCCCGGGCTCCTGTGCCTGTCACAGCACCAGGCGCTTCCCAAGTGACCCCCACGGGCTCTGCAGGAGCTGAGTGACAGCAGCAACGTCCCTGCTGAAGGACAGGGGGGTTTGACAGGCCCTGGGCAGGTGGCAGGGCTGGGATTCCCCAGCCCAGCAGCTCCCTGTGGAAAACACAGCCCTGGCTGCTTTGGGAAGCTGCACCCAGAGCCTGGGTGGTGTCTGAGAGCTCCAGGACACAAAGGCAATCCAGAAGAGCTTCCTGTGGTTCTCCAGCCCACCTGCCCCTTCTGGAGCCAATAAATTCTGGGATCTACTCTGATTTACCACTTCTCCCTGATTTATTAATTAATTAACTCCTCCACATTAAAAGTGTAACTTAAATGAAACCCTCCACGCTGCAAACAACACAGGAGCAAAGCAGCCACTCCCTGGGTGGGCAACACACGTTCCAGAGCTGAGATCCTGGGTGGGGAAGTGCCTGAGAAGCCAGGAGCCAAATAACTGCTCTTGCAGCTCCTGCCCTGCTCAGACAGTAAATTGTGATTTCCCCAGCCAGGGAATCCTCTTCCCTCCTTTTCCCACAGCTGCAAACCCTCCCTGCCTGCTGAGACCACCCCGGAGACATCCCCACAGAGAGGCACTCCAGGGATCTGTGTCCTGGAGATCCAACTGTATCCAAGTTCCCTTATTTTTGTACTGAGGGAATGCCAGGACAGCTGTGAACTGATGAGTGTTGGACCTCCCAGACCAGGTGTTTTGACTTCCTGGCATCGTGGAATCAGATGGTGTGGGTTGGAAGGGACCTGAAAGACCACCTTGTTCCAACCCTGGACACCTCCCACTCTCCCAGGTTCCTCCAAGCTCCAACCTGGCCTTGGACACTTCCAGGATGGGGCAGCCACAGCTTCTCTGGGAATTTTATCCCAGCTCCTCACCACTCTCACAGGGAAGAATTCCTTCCCAACATCCCATCTAACCCTGTTCTCCTTCAGCTTAACACCATTCCCCCTGTCCTGGCACTCCAGGCCCTTGGAAAAGGTCCCTCTCCATCTTCCTTTTAGGAATTTCTGCTGTTGCCCCCACAATTCCAGCAACCATTCAGGTTTGAAATCCCACAGCAGAGCAGCACCTGGTTCCCAGGGCAGGATTCAGGGTTGGATGCTCCTCAAAAATCCAAGTGACCCAAACCTGGCCTGATCCAAAGGGACCACCTGGGGTGTCCTCACCTCAAAACACTGACTTGGGTGGGGGTTCCACCCAACACACCCTTCACTCTTCCCCTCCCTGCCTGTGAATTCTGTGCTTTGGGCAGAATGGATTTTCCAGCCTGGGAAAAGGTGGGAATTCAACCATTCCAGCCCAACCCAGCACCTGGCAAACGATGCTGAGAATGGCTTTAAGGGATGTTTTTTTGAGTGTGCAGGATGAGTTTTAGACTCAGGAAACGTTGTGGGAGCCCATCTGGGGGTGTGACTGCAGGGTGCAGTCCCTGTGGCACGTGGATCACTCCTGAAGAGGCCTTTGGTTGGGATTATTCAGCCAACGCTGCTGGAATATTCCAGCTCTGCTGATGGAATCTGCCTGGATTGGGTGTCCATCAGGAGGAGCTGCACCAGAGTCACACAGGATGGGAAGCAAAGAAATTCTCCCTGTGTTCTCAAGAGTGGGGTTTTGATCCAAAATCATAAAATCATGGAATGGTTTGGGTTGGAAAGGACTCTAAAGATCATCTCATTCCAACCCTGGACACCTTCCACTCTCCCAGGCTGCTCCAAGCCCCATCCAAGCTGGCCTTGGACACTCCCAGGGATGGGACATTCACATCCTCTCTGTGCCAGGGCCTCACCACCCTCACAGCCAAGAATTTCTCCCTAAAATCCCACCTAACCCAGCCCTCCTACAGCTCAAGGCCATTCCCCCTTGTCCTGTCACTCCATGCCCTTGTCCAAAGCCTCTCTCCAGCCTTCTTTATAATCCCAAAATGTTTCCTGGGAGAGCTGACACTTGTGATGTGCATTCCCACAGCCCCCAGTGGCCAAGCCCTCCTCCTCCTTTCATCCCGTGACTCTTCCATTTGATCCTGCCCTTCTGAAATATGAGAGGCCAGGAGTGAAAAACGTGGGTGAAGCTGGAGCCCAGGGCAGGGAGAGGAAAGTGGGAAGATGATATTAAAAACCAGGATCTGCCCAGAGATGTTGTGGACTCCCCATCCCTGGAAGTGCCCAAGGCCAGCTTGGACAGGGCTTGGAGCAACCTGGGCTGGTGGAAGGTGTCCAGGATCGGAACTGGATGATCTTTAAAGCCCAATTCCAACACAAACCATTCCAGGGTTCTACGAAAACCAACATTTCTTAGCACTGGGGTTGTCAGTCCACAAGCACAGAGCTCAGACGCACAAGGGTTGTGGTATCTTAAAAGCCTGTGGGCAAATAAACAGCTGGAATGTTGTGTTTGCCTTTTCCCGAGGCTGATAAGGCCCAGATAGGAGCTGGGAACACATCCACAGGCAGGCATTGTTCCTTCCCCAGGAAAATCCCTGGACAAACACTCGTGGGGACAGCCTGGGCCCCACAGAAGGACGGTGTTACCTTCCCTCCCAAGCAAGGAGGTCTCAGGTGGTTCTGATTTTGGATCAACTGAAGGAGCTCAGGGTCCCGACTGAAAACAATTAAATAAACATCAAGAGCCACGTAAGATCTTCACACCTGACAAAGCAGAAATGAAAACAGTAGTGATTCCTCTGGCAGCTCCTCACATGCTCCAAACTCTGGAAAATAAGAAGGGAGCAGATGGGATGGATCAGTCACAGTGCCTGGATTAAAGTCAAATCACAAGCAGAAATGCCAGTGGCACCTCAGCTGTTCCAGCCTGGATCCCAGGAAGAAGATCCCAGGGCTGGAGCCCCTCTGCTCTGGAGCCAGGCTGGGAGAGCTGGGGGGGTTCAGCTGGAGAAGAGAAGGATCCAGGGAGACCTGAGAGCCCCTTGCAGAGCCTAAAGGGGCTCCAGGAGAGCTGGAGAGGGACTGGGGACAAGGCATGGAGGGACAGGACACAGGGAATGGCTTCAAACTGCCAGAGGGCAGGGAGAGATGGGATATTGGGAAGGAATTCTCAGCGGGGAGGGTGGGCAGGCCCTGGCACAGGTTGGGCAGAGAAGCTGTGGCTGCCCCTGGATCCCTGGAAGTGTCCCAGGCCAGGTTGGACGGGGCTTGGAGCAGCCTGGGCTGGTGGAAGGTGTCCCTGCCCATGGCAGGGGTGGGATGAGATGATCCTTAAGGGCCTTTCCAGCCCAAACCCTTGTGTGGTTCTGTCCCACCTTGGGAAGGGTCTGCAGGAGGCACCTCCCCTGAGCCCATCCCAGCTCTGCCCTGGGCTGGAGAACAAGGAATGGGGACTGGAGAGCAAGGGAGGGGGTGGAGAACAAGAAAGGGGCTGGAGAGAAAGGAGAGGGGACTGGAGAACAAGGAAGAGGGATGGAGAGCAAGGAGGGGAGGTTGAAAAACAAGGAGAAGGGATGGAGAACAAGGAAGAGGGATGGAGAACAAGGAAGAGGGATGGAGAACAAGGAAGAGGGATGGAGAACAAGGAAGAGGGATGGAGAACAAGGCCGGTGGTGGGGGGGGGGCTGGAGGGCAAGGAAGGGGTGCTGGTGAACACGGAGGGGGGGCTGGAGAGCGAGGGAACAAGGAAGGAACGGGGAGGAGAACAAGGAAGGGGGTGAAGAACAAGGAAGGGGGTGAAGAACAAGGGAGAGGGATGGAGAGCGAGAAGGGGGATGGAGAAGGGTCAGAGGAAGGTCGGCTGGGCAGGAGGACAGGCAGGGCAGGCAGGGTGGGCAGGAGGGCAGGCAGGAGGGCAGGAAGGGCAGGAGGGCAGGCAGGAGGGCAGGCAGGAGGACAGGCAGGAGGGCAGGCAGGGCAGGAGGGCAGGCAGGAGGACAGGCAGGAGGGCAGGAAGGGCAGGAGGACAGGCAGGAGGGCAGGGCCGGGCAGGAGGGCCAAGGCCGCGGGCAGCGCTCCGGGCCGGGCTCTCGGTGCCCGCCCCGCTCCCGCCCGGTCTCGCCCTCCGTGCCGATCCCGCCGGGGCTCCGTGAGGGCAGGGCAGGCCCAGGGACGCGAGTCCTACCTCAGGGGGCGGCCATGGCGGGGAGGACACGGGGACACAGGAACTACGGCAATTACAAATGTACAGCAACTACAGCTCCCGGCAGCGGCCGCGGCAGGGCCGGGAAGGGGCCGCTCCGCCCGCCCCACGCGGGGCTGAGCCCGCCGAGCCCGCCCCGAGCGTGATCGTGGATTTTTTTTCCCCCAAAACCAGTGGATCTGCGGTACAGCCATTCCCGCAGCCAGCGTGGCGGGACAGCCCGGGCTGATCCCCCAGCGTGGGCAGCAGGGCAGGGGGGATTGTGCCCCTCTGAGACCCCCCTGCAGAGCTGCTCCAGCCCTGGGAACAGCACAGGGAGCACAGGGAGCTGCTGGAGAGAGCCCAGAGGAGGCACCAAGAGGATCCCAGGGCTGGAGCAGCTCTGCTGGGAGGAAAGGCTGGCACAGCTGGGATTGTTCAGCTGGACAAGAGAAGCTTTGGGGGGACCTGAGTGTGGCCTTGCAGGGCCTGAAGGGGCTCCAGGAAAGATGGAGGGAGACTATTTCCAAGGGCTGGAGGGACAGGACAAGGGGAATGGCTTCAAACTGCCAGAGGGCAGGGTTAGATGGGATATTGGGATTTATATAGTAGGAAGAAATTCCTCCTTGTGAGGGTGGGCAGGCCCTGGCCCAGGTTGCCCAGAGAAGCTGTGGCTGCCCCTGGATCCCTGGAAGTGTCCCAGGCCAGGTTGGACGGGGCTTGGAGCACCCTGGGCTGGTGGAAGGTGTCCAGTTTCTGCTTCTTCCAACAAGAAGCAGAACCCTTTTTCATTTATTTTTTACCACGAGCAAAACAAAAAGTGCCCGAAACGCAGCGCCAGGCATGGCTGAAGCGCTTCAGCCCAAACCTTCCAAAAACCAAGAAGCCCACGGGACGGACAGCCAGCTCTGGAAGTCTGAGTTGAAGTGGTTTAAGTCTGGCAGGGTGAATAGGAGCTAAACCCAGAGCCTTACAAATTGGAACATGTTTTAATAGCAGAAGTGACACCACTTCTGCTTCTAATTTACCCCCCAAGAGCCAGTGTTGTGATGCTTCAGCCTCACAGCAGACAAAGCATCTTAAAAACCCGTTTCCCAGCCAGTGGAAAGCAGGAACCAACGTGAGAATCCCTCGGGAAGCGCAGAAATGGGACTGCTTGGATAGCTGGGTGTGGAAATTCCAGAAGGTGAAATCTGGGGGGTTTTACACCGAGCCCTGACTGGTGAGAGACATCTGGTTGTGAGCAGAGCTCCATCACCCAAATGCATCCCAGATTCCTCTGGCAAACCAAGGAGCAGCAGGAGGGTCAGCTTGGCCAGCTATGGATTTGGAGACAGAGGATGAACCTCTGGAAGCTGCCCCAGACCCCCAGGCCGTGCTCCTGGATGAGGCTTTTAGTTCAGCAGCTCTTCCACAGAACAGGCCTTGTCAGGAGGCCGTGAATCAACCTTTGCTGCTGAGGAATAATGAAGTGAAAATGGGAGTCAGAGCATTAGAAAGTGGTTTGGAGTGAATGTGGGGAGGGATAAGTTGCCTCCTGTGATTCACACTGTTCACACATTGTTCACTCAAGAAATGCACTTTTGGCCACTAATTCACGGTTGTTCCCAGGTGGGAACGTGCAGATCTGCTTCTGGATTTGGGGGGAAAAAAAATAAATAGTTGAGATATAACCAAATTATTCATTCTCTTGGTTTTATTTTCCCAAGGAACAGAATCTCAGAGCGAAGCACAATCAGACATTTTTCCTGGGAGTTTCACAAGGAGCTGTGCCAAGGTCCTCTTGGGAACCAGTGAGGTGGATGGGAACCAGTGAGGTGGATGGGAACCAGTAAGGGGGATGGGAACCAGTAAGGTGGATGGGAACCAGTAAGGTCAGTGGGAACCAGTAGGGTTGGTTTCCTCCGTTACACGTCGACCTGTGTGTTAATTCCATGAACAGCTTCCCAGCTCTTTACAATTCCAGTGGGTTCCCTGGGTGTGACTCCATGATTTCCTCACCGCTGGCGCTCCCTGAGGCTCAGGGTGACTCAGGGCTTGCTTTATCCCTTGCCCCCAGATTCTCATGGATCACACACTTGAGGTCTTCCCGGTTGAGCACCTGGTTTTTGTACTTCTCCCCCCAGTCCTCCACGATGTACTGGTGATAGGGGTCGTTGGAGTGCTCCCTCCTCTTGGACTTCACGGTGCTCACCAGGATGGCCACGATGATGAAGGAGAACATCCCGATCATCACCATCAGGTACAGGATGACGTAGTCGAAGTTCTCGGCGGCCACCTCGGCCTGCAGTTTGTTTGCTGCCTCCGTCATGTTTCTCCTCCAGCCGTTCATGTAGTTGAGGAAGGTGTCCTTGAAGATGTCTTCCACTGCCCAGGTGAAGTTCTTCATTTCAGCCATCCCTGCTGCAGGCAAAACACTGATTTTAATTAAATACTGGTAATCAAACAGTTGCACTGCTGTCTTTGGTCTGTGTGGTGACAATTGATGAGCCACACCCACCCTGTGCCCCTTGGAAGGGCCATTTTAGGGCAGCTGAGAACCCCCATCTCTGAGGGGTTCAGTGTGTTCAGAGACCCAGGGGGGTCTTACTCAGAGTCATGGCATGGTTGGGGTTGGAGGGACCTTGAATATCATCCAGTTCCAACCCCCAACACCTTCCACTAGCCCAGGTTGCTTCAGTCTGGCCTTGGACACTTCCAGGGATCCAGGGGCATCACAACCTCTCTGTGCCAGGGCCTGCCCACCCTCCCAGCCAGCAATTCCTTCCCAATATTCCATCTAACCCTGCTTTTTGTCAGTCTGAAGCCATTCCCCTTGTCCTGTCCCTCCAGCCCTTGGAAATAGTCTCTCTCCATCTTTCCTGGAGCTCCTTCAGGCCCTGCAAGGCCACAAAGGAGGGCAAGGCTGACCTGCATCCATATGGACACAGGGAAGTGAATTCCTTCAATTCTTCAGGCCAGCCAAGCCCTCCAAGCTCCCAAAAAAAAGCCACTTCATCTCAGTGCAACCCTCAAGCAAAAAGGAGTTTGCTGCAGCCTGGGGCAAGAGGTGGTGGATTTTCAGATTCATCAGAAATTGGGGTGTCTTTCAAACTGGAATTCAGGAATTCCTTGGCTTGTTGGCCCAGCCTGGTGTGCACACACAGAAGGATGAAGGTCCACATGCAGGTTATACTGAATTATATGAGTTCAGATTATACTGAAATTATTCTCTCAGACATGGGGGATAAAGGTAATTAATGAAAGTATAAGCATAAAAAAAGTATAATACAAAGTGCCTTGAAACTTTTCCCTCTGTAAAATCTCTCTGCTTTTCCTTTGATTTGGAACAAAATTGCTCTGCTTTTCCAAGAGGAAATACAGAATTACTGACAGAAACTTTCCTGTGTCCCTAAAAATCTGTAAAATCTCAGCTTTTGCTCTGATTCAGAACGAAAATTGCTCTGCTTTCCCAACAGGAAATAATTATGGAGAGAAACTCACCTTTCCCGTGTCCTTTTCCAGGAGATTCACTCAGGATTTCCAAATTCCACTGGCTAAGCAGGTGACAATCTCAAAAAGAGAGCAGCCTGCCCGGGGCTCTGAGCAGCTGCAGGTGCCTTGCACTGCACCCCTCCTGTGGATGTGGAATGAAAAGCTAAATCTAATCAACCCTGGAAAGTCAAATATTGGCTCCCATCAGAGCCCCAGGGGGGTGCTGGGAAGGGCTCTTGGTGCTGCTTGTGGCCAGCTGAGGTGTTTTAAAAGCATTTCTCTGCTTGCCTGGGGGTGGAGGGACCTGCAGCTCCATCCGGAGGGGCGAGGGGGAATCATTAGAGTGGGAATTGTTCCCTGGGAGGAAGCAGGGAATTCCTAAGGCAGGGAATTGCTACTGTTCCAAGCAGTGGGGTGGGTTCTGTGTTGGAAGGGGCTTTCCATGCCCAGGGCAGGGTGGTTTTCCCACCACACTCTCAGGGATTTGTTGTTGTCCTTCCTCGCTCCGTGTGGTCTCTGTGGCCCCAGGATTTGCTGTGGGGACACTTCAGGCCTGGGCTCTGCTCTGTCCTCCTGCCTTCCCTCTTCCCAGGCTTTTCCCTCAGCTCCTTTTGGCACTGCAGGGGCTTTTCTGCACTGTCGGTTTGGGTGTTTTGGGGCCACAAAGACCCTGCAGGGTCGTGTGTGAGGCCCAGCAATGTTTGAGGGACCCCATGGACTGACCTGTGGGAGCCACCAAGAGGATGCCAGGGCTGGAGCAGCTCTGCTGGGAGGAAAGGCTGGCACAGCTGGGATTGTTCAGCTGGACAAGAGAAGCTTTGGGGGGACCTGAGTGTGGCCTTGCAGGGCCTGAAGGAGCTCCAGGAAAGATGGAGAGAGACTATTTCCAAGGGCTGGAGGGACAGGACAAGGGGGAATGGCTTCAAACTGCCAGAGGGCAGGGTTAGATGGGATATTGGGAAGGAATTGCTGGCTGGGAGGGTGGGCAGGCCCTGGCACAGGTTGCCCAGAGAAGCTGTGGCTGCCCCTGGATCCCTGGAAGTGTCCAAGGCCAGGTTGGACGGGGCTTGGAGCACCCTGGGCTGGTGGAAGGTGTCCCTGCCCATGGCAGGGGGTGGAACTGGATCATCTTTAAGGTCCTTTCCAACCCAACCCATTCTATGATTCTATGAATAATACAATATCAATAATAATAATATTCAACATTATTGTTGTTGTTATTATTATTATTATTATTCCCTTGGTTAATTTGTGCATGAGAGGTGATCACAGAGCAGGGCAGTGAGAGTCCTGCCTGTCAGGCTGCTCAGCACCCAAAATGTGACTTGCCTTTCCCTTCTCCCACCAGGATCATGCCTGTTAGTGTCCAAGCCCTCCACAAAGCTAATCCTCTCTTGCCCCCAGGACCAGCTCCTCTGAGCTCTGCTCGGGGGTCACCTCACCATGGAGAGGGAAAAGACAAAAACTTACTAAAAAAAAAGGAATAATAAAGAAAAGGCAGAATGAATGAATGTAGATTTTATCCCTGGCAAACAGCACGTGCTGCCACCTCACTGAGAGCTGTGGGTGCCCCCTGGGAACACAAGGGAAATGAGGGAAAACAAGGGAAAGGAGTGCAGTGCCAGCACGTTGGGCACTCCCAGCAGCCATTCCTGGCTCTGCTGGGGACACCCAGGGGGGGATTAGGGGGGGATTGTGCTTCCAAGTGCTCCCCAAGCACTTGGGCTGGCCCAGATGGGCTGTAAAAACCCTGTTTTCACCCTGCAGGTCGATCTGCCCGAGGGATTGGCAGGGAAAGGCCTTTGCCAGGTGCAGCTCTGCCCTGGGGCAGCCAGGGCTGTGCTCCTGCTGTGGCAAAGTCCCTGAGGAACCCCTGGCAGCATTTCCTCTCTGATCCCTGCCTCTTCCCTGGCACATTCCCACGTGTCCCTGGGAGCTGAAGGAGCTGGCACTGCTCCTGTGGGCTCTGCTGGAATCCATTGGTTGTTTCCCTTCATTCTCTACAAGAAACAAACTTTGCACTTTATTTTCAATCACCAGCTGCTATTTTTATACATTTTTTTGGTCATATTTCCCCCTAATTTTCTTTAAAGTGAGGGAATCACTCACACATAACTTACAGGGTCCATAACTTGGGATCATGAATTTTAGAGGGTTAATTCTTAGAGGTAAAAAAAACTTAATGGAGCTGCTCAATGTGATTATTGGGGAATTATGAGCATCCTTTAATACATCCCTGGGTCATTTTCCTGTGGCATTTCTTCTGTACTGGTTAAATCACAATATTGCACCATTTCCTGGCCTTTACAAACCTCCAACCTTTGTATACACAGACTTAACTCAGCCTCAGAGGAAGATTTTATAGTTTGGCTTTAACTGTGTCTGTTGAAACCTCTCCTCTTCAGATTAATCAAAATGACATCTATTAATTAAGTTCAAACCTTTTCTTTCTGCTGACTTTCCTTCATAATCCAATTTTTACTACAGCTTAAGACACTTCCCTGCTCCTTTATTGTAAGTGTTGATAATTAAAGATGCTGCCTCTTTATTTTTCCTTTGCAGCTTTGCTTCCATGGCCCTTCCCTGTTCCTTTAATTTTTGTACCAGGCACTGGCTCAACATTTCACTCTTCTTGCCCCAATTTCTCTTTAAGAAATCCCCCAAGAAAATCCCAATTCTTTCATTTGCTTTCTGCCTTCACCCCATGAATGATGGGCATGATTTTCTCTCCCAGGATTTTAGGATTTCTCCATCATTTCCTGTGTTTTTCAGCACAACTGGGAGTTTTGATACCTTGCCCTGTACAGATTGGGTTTCCCCTTTCAAAGAAGAAACCCTTCTGCAATTATTTATTTCTTGTGGGACTGCTCTTCCATCTTTCAGGGAGGAACATTTAGAGGTTTCATCTGCAGGTTATTTCCTGGGGCTTTTGTCTGCTCAATAAACACATTTACTGGTTCAACAGTTTGTTTTTCTGAGAGATCTGGAGACTTTATCGTGTGTTATAGAGTTTGATCACCTGTTGTAACACCCTGGGTGTGTTTGCTGAGTATTAATTCCTTCCCTGTATCCCATCTCTCCCTGCCCTCTGGCAGTGGGAAGCCATTCCCTGTGTCCTGTCCCTCCATCCCTTGTCCCCAGTCCCTCTCCAGCTCTCCTGGAGCCCCTTTAGGCCCTGCTAGGGACTCTCAGGTCTCCCTGGATCCTTCTCTCCTCCAGGTGAACCCCCTCAATCACCTGCTCTGCCCCCATTTCAGCAGCAAGGAATCATCCAAAGGAAGTAATTCCTGCTTTGAATCCTTTGCTAAAACCGGGCTGAATTCCCCAGGGAGGGAGTTGTGGAGAGCAAGGAGGTCCTGCCTAGGAACGCTCAGCTCCCCCCAGCCCAGGCTGGAGAAGTGGGAGCAGGAGGAGCCTGCGATCCCTCAGCTTTGTTGCCATGGTTTTCTGGGTGGCCGTGTCAGGAGCTTTAGGGGATAAACGAGGCTGTTGCCTCCCCGTGGCGCTGAAATGCAAAAGCAAACACTGACGTTTCGCCACCTGCCCGTGCTTTGCTGCGGGTGAAATTCACTCCTCAGCCTCTCGGAGATCGCAGCAAGCTGGAAAATAAACACCTTTCCAAAGAGCAGCCCCAGGGATGGATTTGCTGGGCACACAGAGCCCTGCCCAGCAAGCTGCCTGTAAAGGGCATCTCCGGGTCAGCTCTGGAGAACAGGAGATGCTTGGCCTCCAGCAGACCTGAGGAGGGGTTTTTTTGGGGCTTGCAGTGGGAAGCAGTCGACAGGAATCGCAGCCCAGGTGTGCAACAGTCACGGGCATCATGTCACACCCGCCCATCCTCACAAGCAGAGCCTGGGGTCTCCCTCAGAGGGAGCTTGTGGAGGGTTGGGGAATGGGAACTGGGGGAGGCACCACTGCTGGAGC